AGAGACAGACAATTAAAAGACCATGAAGACAGATTAAGGGAAATAAATGACAGCCTAAGGAAGAAAAACCTACGTTTAATTGGGGTTCCCGAGGGCGCCGAAAGGGCCAGAGGGCCAGAATATGTATTTGAACAAATCCTAGCTGAAAACTTTCCCAATCTGGGAAGGGAAACAGGCATTCAGATCCAGGAAATAGAGAGATCCCCCCCTAAAATCAATAAAAACCGTTCAACACCTCGACATTTAATAGTGAAGCTTGCAAATTCCAAAGATAAAGAGAAGATCCTTAAAGCAGCAAGAGACAAGAAGTCCCTGACTTTCATGAGGAGGAATATTAGGGTAACAGCAGACCTCTCCACAGAGACGTGGCAGGCCCGAAAGGGCTGGCAGGATATATTCAGGGTCCTAAATGAGAAGAACATGCAACCAAGAATACTTTATCCAGCAAGGCTCTCATTCAAAATGGAAGGAGAGATAAAGAGCTTCCAAGACAGGCAGGAACTGAAAGAATATGTGACCTCCAAACCAGCTCTGCAAGAAATTTTAAGGGGGACTCTTAAAACTCCCCTTTAAGAAGAAGTTCAGTGGAACAATCCACAAAAACAAGGACTAAATAGATATCATGATGACACTAAACTCATATCTGTCAATAGTAACTCTGAACGTGAACGGGCTTAATGACCCCATCAAAAGGCGCAGGGTTTCAGACTGGATAAAAAAGCAGGACCCATCTATTTGCTGTCTACAAGAGACTCATTTTAGACAGAAGGACACCTACAACCTGAAAATAAAAGGTTGGAGAACCATTTACCATTCAAATGGTTCTCAAAAGAAAGCAGGGGTAGCCATCCTTATATCAGATAAGCTAAAATTTACCCCGAAGACTGTAGTGAGAGATGAAGAGGGACACTATATCATACTTAAAGGATCTATCCAACAAGAGGACTTAACAATCTTCAATATATATGCCCCGAATGTGGGAGCTGCCAAATACTTAAACCAATTATTAACCAAAGTGAAGAAGTACTTAGATAATAATACACTTATACTTGGTGACTTCAATCTAGCTCTTTCTATACTAGATAGGTCTTCTAAGCACAACATCTCCAAAGAAACGAGAGCTTTAAATGATACACTGGACCAGATAGATTTCACAGATATCTACAGAACTTTACATCCAAACTCAACTGAATACACATTCTTCTCAAGTGCACATGGAACTTTCTCCGGAATAGACCACACACTGGGTCACAAATCGGGTCTGAACCGATACCAAAAGATTGGGATCGTCCCCTGCATATTCTCAGACCATAACGCCTTGAAATTAGAACTAAATCACAAGAAGAAGTTTGGAAGGACCTCAAACACGTGGAGGTTAAGGACCATCCTGCTAAAAGATAAAAGGATCAACCAGGAAATTAAGGAAGAATTAAAAAGATTCATGGAAACTAATGAGAATGAAGATACAACCGTTCAAAATCTTTGGGATGCAGCAAAAGCAGTCCTGAGGGGGAAATACATCACAATACAAGCATCCATTCAAAAACTGGAAAGAACTCAAATACAAAAGCTAACCTTACACTAAAGGAGCTAGAGAAAAAACAGCAAATCGACCCGACACCCAGCAGAAGAGAGTTAATGAAAATTCGAGCAGAACTCAACGAAATTGAGACCAGAAGAACTGTGGAACAGATTAATAGAACCAGGAGTTGTTTCTTTGAAAGAATTAATAAGATAGATAAACCATTAGCCAATCTTATTAAAAAGAAGAGAGAGAAGACTCAAATTAATAAAATCATGAATGAGAAAGGAGAGATCACTACCAACACCAGGGAAATACAAACGATTTTAAAAACATATTATGAACAGCTCTACGCCAATAAATTAGGCAATCTAGAAGAAATGGACGCATTCCTGGAAAGCCACAAACTACCAAAACTGGAACAGGAAGAAATAGAAAACCTGAACAGGCCAATAACCAGGGAGGAAATTGAAGCAGTCATCAAAAACCTCCCAAGACACAAGAGTCCAGGGCCAGATGGCTTCCCAGGGGAATTCTATCAAACGTTTAAAGAAGAAATCATACCTATTCTACTAAAGCTGTTTGGAAAGATAGAAAGAGATGGTGTACTTCCAAATTCATTCTATGAGGCCAGCATCACCTTAATTCCAAAACCAGACAAAGACCCCACCAAAAAGGAGAATTACAGACCAATATCCCTGATGAACATGGATGCAAAAATTCTCAACAAGATACTAGCCAATAGGATCCAACAACACATTAAGAAAGTTATTCACCATGACCAAGTAGGATTTATCCCCGGGACACAAGGCTGGTTCAACACTCGTAAAACAATCAATGTGATTCATCATATCAGCAAGAGAAAAACCAAGAACCATATGATCCTCTCATTAGATGCAGAGAAAGCATTTGACAAAATACAGCATCCATTCCTGATCAAAACTCTTCAGAGCGTAGGGATAGAGGGAACTTTCCTCGACATCTTAAAAGCCATCTACGAAAAGCCCACAGCAAATATCATTCTCAATGGGGAAGCACTGGGAGCCTTTCCCCTAAGATCAGGAACAAGACAGGGATGTCCACTCTCACCACTGCTATTCAACATAGTATTGGAAGTCCTAGCCTCAGCAATCAGACAACAAAAAGACATTTAAGGCATTCAAATTGGCAAAGAAGAAGTCAAACTCTCTCTCTTCGCCGATGACATGATACTCTACATAGAAAACCCAAAAGCCTCCACCCCAAGATTGCTAGAACTCATACAGCAATTTGGTAGCGTGGCAGGATACAAAATCAATGCCCAGAAATCAATGGCATTTCTATACACTAACAATGAGACTGAAGAAAGAGAAACTAAGGAGTCAATCCCATTTACAATTGCACCCAAAAGCATAAGATACCCAGGAATAAACCTAACCAAAGAGGTAAAGGATCTATACCCTAAAAACTATAGAACACTTCTGAAAGAAATTGAGGAAGACACAAAGAGATGGAAAAATATTCCATGCTCATGGATTGGCAGAATTAATATTGTGAAAATGTCAATGTTACCCAGGGCAATTTACACGTTTAATGCAATCCCTATCAAAATACCATGGACTTTCTTCAGAGAGTTAGAACAAATTATTTTAAGATTTGTGTGGAATCAGAAAAGACCCCGAATAGCCAGGGGGATTTTAAAAAAGAAAACCATAGCTGGGGGCATCACAATGCCAGATTTCAGGTTGTACTACAAAGCTGTGGTCATCAAGACAGTGTGGTACTGGCACAAAAACAGACACATAGATCAATGGAACAGAATAGAGAATCCAGAAGTGGACCCTGAACTTTATGGTCAAGTAATATTCGATAAAGGAGGAAAGACTATCCACTGGAAGAAAGACAGTCTCTTCAATAAATGGTGCTGGGAAAATTGGACATCCACGTGCAGAAGAATGAAACTAGACCACTCTCTTGCACCATACACAAAGATAAACTCAAAATGGATGAAAGATCTAAATGTGAGACAAGATTCCATCAAAATCCTAGAGGAGAACACAGGCAACACCCTTTTTGAACTTGGCCACAGTAACTTCTTGCAAGATACATCCACGAAAGCAAAAGAAACAAAAGCAAAAATGAACTATCGGGACTTCATCAAGATAAGAAGCTTTTGCACAGCAAAGGATACAGTCAACAAAACTCAAAGACAACCTCTACAGAATGGGAGAAGATATTTGCAAATAACATATCAGATAAAGGGCTAGTTTCCAAAATCTATAAAGAACTTATTAAACTCAACAGCAAAGAAACAAACAATCCAATCATGAAATGGGCAAAGGACATGAAGAGAAATCTCACAGAGGAAGACATAGACATGGCCAACATGCACATGAGAAAATGCTCTGCATCACTTGCCATCAGGGAAATACAAATCCAAACCACAATGAGATACCACCTCACACCAGTGAGAATGGGGAAAATTAACAAGGCAGGAAACAACAAATGTTGGAGAGGACGTGGAGAAAAGGGAACCCTCTTACACTGTTGGTGGGAATGTGAACTGGTGCAGCCACTCTGGAAAACTGTGTGGAGGGTCCTCAAAGAGTTAAAAATAGACCTGCCCTACGACCCAGCAATTGCACTGTTAGGGATTTACCCCAAAGATTCAGATGCAATGAAACACCGGGACACCAGCACCCCGATGTTTCTAGCAGCCATGTCCACAATAGCCAAACTGTGGAAGGAGCCTCGGTGTCCATCGAAAGATGAATGGATAAAGAAGATGTGGTTTATGTATACAATGGAATATAACTCAGCCATTAGAAACGACAAATACCCACCATTTGCTTCAATGTGGATGGAACTGGAGGGTATTATGCTGAGTGAAGTAAGTCAATCGGAGAAGGACAAACAGTGTATGTTCTCATTCATTTGGGGAATATGAATAATAGTGAACGGGAATATAAGGGAAGGGAAAAGAAATGTGTGGGAAATATCAGAAAAGGAGACAGAACATAAAGACTCCTAACTCTGGGAAACTAACTAGGGGTGGTGGAAGGGGAGGAGGGTAGGGGTGGGGGTGAATGGGTGACGGGCACTGAGGGGGACACTTGATGGGATGAGCACTGGGTGTTATTCTGTATGTTGGTAAATTGAACACCAATAAAAAATAAATTTATCAAAAAAATAAAAATAAAAAATAAAATTTCATGCAGGGGACTCCTGGGTGGTTAAGTGTCTGCTTTCAGCTCAGATCATGATCCCAATGTCCTGGGATCGAGCCCCATGTCCTTGTGCTCTTTGCTACCTGCTGCTCCCCCTACTTGTGCTCTCTCTCTGTCAAATAAATAAATATAATATTTTTTAAAATCTTAAAAATAATGGATAAAAGTTCATATAGAAAAGAGTAAAAATAAAGAATAAAGGATTTACTGATGAAAAACATAGATGGTTATTTCCCCCAATGCTATTTAGGATGCCAGATATGACAATTTACCAGCAATGTCGTCTGAAGAGTCTTCATCACGAGGTATAGCAGGCCTTTTACTTCTTTTGACTTTCTCAGGCAAAGCTTTGGAAGGCTCTTTCACCCGCATCTGTTATTTACTGAAAAGGTTGGGGGTAGGTTGAAATGAATACATTTTAATCCTCAAAACTAAAATTTTAGGTATTTTACTTCATGTATATTAAAAAGGAAATGACTTCAATTTTAGTTGGCTTGGTACATTAACAGAAGAAGAGAACATCAGATGTAACCAAAGAAATCTTTATTAAACCAAAATACAAATGCACAACATATTTGACTTTCGCCAACTACTCCTTAGATGATGTCCAGGTGAATGACAAAACTAAAGTCTTGACCAAGGGAATAAGTGCTGCTTCTGGGTCATGTGCTCCCCTTGCCCTTTCTCCCACCCCACTAGCTAGGAAATTAGTAGAAATTGGAAAAGCCACAATGGGGCAGGGAAGGAAGCCAGGTGCCCAGCACAGCAGAGCCAGCCTACCTGCACTATATGACCCAGCACTGAACTACTGAGAGAGAAATAGTTTTAAGCTGCAGCATTTTTTTTTTTTTGGTGAGGTTTTCCCCATTTTTATTATGAAAACACTTAAACATCCAGAAAAGTTAATAGAACAATATAATAAACACCCATATGCTTACTGCCTAGAATCCACATCTAGAACATTTTGCCCTATTTGTTTTATCTAAATATCAGTATGTACAGATACTGAATATGTGAATATATTTACTTGTTTTTGCTGAACTACTTCAAAGTAAGTTGCAAAGAGCATGTATCTTTGTGCCCCCATAGACCATACTTTCAATAGCAAGGTTGTATAATGCCCCACACTTAATTAGTTTCTTTCTTCATGGTGTTACTTACCTCTGTCCTTTCTGTTTCTTAAAAACCCAAAATTAATTGTTAAGATTTTATTTTTTTTAAGATTTTATTTATTTATTCATAAGAGACACAGAGAGGGAGAGACACAGCCAGACTCCATGCAAGGAGCCCAATATGGAACTCGAACCCGGGTCTCCAGGACCTCGCCCTGGGCTGAAGGCAGCGCTAAATCACTGAGCCACCCGGGCTGCCCAATTGTTAAGATTTTAGATTAAAGATTAAGCATCTTTTCAAACCACTGTATTTGGAGTCTCTGCCTAAATCCTACCTAATATCATCTGTTCTATGGCTAAGCTACACTGCAATTTTCATGGCTATTTGTCTATTTGCTTTTATTGATCAAGGTGGAAGAAACTTTCAACTCAATAATAAATTCTGAATCTTGGGGTGCCTGGGTGGCTCAGTCAGTTAAGCGTCCGATTCTTGATTTTGGTTCAGGTCATGATCTCAGGGTCATGGGATTCGGCCCCATGCCAGGCTCCACTCAGTGGGAAGTCTGTTTGAGATCCTCTCCCTCTTCCTCTGTCTCTCCGTGTGTTTGCGCACATGCTCTCTAAAATAAATAAACCTTTAAAAATGAATACATAAATAAATCCTGAATTTTTTTTTCCTTTAAGATTTTATTTAAAGAGAGGCAGAGACAGAGAGAGAAAAGCAAGCTCCCCACAAGGAGCCTGATGCAGGACTCAATCCTAGAACCCCAGGATCACGACCTGAGCCAAAGGCAGACGCTCAACCACTGAGCCACCCAGGTGCCCTAAATTCTGAATCTTGATTCAGAATATTCATGAGAGACAGAGAGAGAGAGGCAGAGGCCTTATATTCCACATAAGGAGCTTTTTAGTTTACCATTTTTAAGAGCCATTTCTTTAACTCCAGAGGTCATCACTCTTGAACTGAGTTGCAACAAATTATGACCTTCAGGGTTAGAGATGCACAAGGCCTCTGAGTTCCTTGACCACTTCATTTCTGACTACCTTTTCCCTCCAAACTTCCTCATCCACTCACTCTTACCTTACTTACTTGCAAAATCATTAATTCAAGTATTCCATTCTCTAATCACAAATTCGAGTACTTCCAGCTTTGCCTGTTCAGCCAATCCTATTCACCTTTAGTGCTCAGCCTGACAGGAGGCTGCATCTCACCACGTGCTTCCATGATCACTATAGCAAGGCAGGGAGATGGGGAAGTAGCAAATGGAGTCTTAAAGCTTCACTCGGACATGATGTACGTCACATCTCCTCACATTTTAGCAGTCCAAGCAAGTCATATGGCACATTTAACTTCAAGTGGACATGGGTAGGGGGTAGGATGTGGGCTGTGTACAAAGAATGCAACCTTACTATGTACACAGAAGGACAAAACACATGTGCACAGCCTTAAAGACTACCACATCACTCCTCTAACAGAACTCCAAACCCAGGGGCCTCTGGGTGGCTCAGTAGTTGAGCATCTGCCTTCAGCTCCAGTGGTGATCCTGGGGTCCTAGAATAGAGTCCTGCATCAGGCTCCCAGGAGGGAGCCTGCATCTCCCTCTGCCTAGGTCTCTGCCTCTCTCTGTGTGTCTCTCATGAATAAATAAATAAAATCTTATAGATTTTATAATAGATAAGATTAAGAGTTACAAACTTCCAGTTATAAAATAAATAAGTCATGGAGATGAAAAGTATCGTATAGGGAATATAGTCAAAAATATTGTAATAATGTTGTATGGTAACAGACGGTGATGCCAGGGTCCTGGGATCGAGTCCCACATCGGGCTCCCTGCAGGGAGCCTGCCTCTCCCTCTGCCTAGGTCTCTGCCTCTCTCTCTCTCTCTGTCTTTCGTGAATAAATAAATAAAATCTCTTTTTTAAAATAATTAAAATATTAAAAAAAAAAACAAACCTAAATGAACCCAATTAAACACTTTCACCATGTCTGCATCCAAACAGGCCGGAGAAAATCTTGTAAGAAAGCAGATTGGGTCCACCAAATTCATAATCTCAATCTCAATCTCAAATGGATCAAGACATGCCATTATCTACTACACTTCCTGGCAAACCTACTTACTTACTCCTCACACAGCCATCTGAAACCTTCCTCATTCTCCCAAACCTTTAAAAATGAATAAATAAATCTCCATCTCCCTACTTCTCAAGAGAGTATCTAGTCTTCTGCTTTACTGAGGGAAAAAAGATATAATCAGATGGCAAATGTCATCTTTCCACCGCCAAACTTGCAGACTTCCCTCCAACTATTTCAACTTAATGTCCTGAAAATATAGGCGTAACTAAAAGAATCCAGGAAAAAAAAATGGCTTCTGGAAGCTGCTCATACCTTTCCCCAGCTTCTCAAATCACCTCTTGATAAAGACAGGCAGCGACACATAGATAGTGCTTGCAGAATAACAAAAAGAACCAGGTATTTGACCTACATTCTATAAAAGGTCTGTAAAAGGCAGGCACTTAACTTGGCCACATAGTCAATTTCTAGTGATTTTTCTGACACTTGCAGTATGTCTAAACATAGATATAACTTTGGACAGTAACCCACTATTCAGCACGTATCTGTATAGCTCTCTTTTTCTTTCCTTTTTAGGCAGAAAGAGACAAAATTAAAATCCGGTTATTAGATCTTCAAGTACTTCCTGTCACCAATATTGCATCTGGGGAGTTCCAAGACCACCCTCACATTTGAAGATTCACTGGAAGGACTCACAGGACTCGGCATGTAGTTGTACTCATGGCTACCTTTTATTACAGCAAGGCAGTATGGACATACAACCTGAGCATAATGGAAAAAGACACAGGTCAAGTTTGCAGGAATCCATGTGCAGGCTTCCTTATGTTCTCTTCCTCCCAGAAAGGGTCAAACAGAGCGCATTCTTTCTCCTCAGTGAGGAAAATCCAGCAATGTCTGTGCAATGTGTCTGCCCAGGGAAGCCCATTACAGACTCACAGGCCAGGGTTTTTTCTGGGGGCTGGTGACTTCGACACAAACAGTAGTGCAAGGCATAAACTATATTGTTGCCAGATGCCAAACAAGGTGTAGCCTTGCAAGCGGATCTTTCTAAGGATAGCCGTCTCAGGCCTGGTAGGTTTATTCTTTCCAGGACAAGTAAGTTCTGGCCCTTTCTTTCATGCGGTTTCCCAAACAAATCTTTCCAGCTTTCAACTTCAGTATTCCTCTAACATGTCTTTTCTCTGCTGTAAGATGTGCAACTGAGTTGTTTAGAAATGTCTGATTTAAAAGAAAAAAAAGCAAAACATGCTGGGGTGCCTGGGTGGCTCTAGGCCTTAAGCATCTGCCTTCCACTCAGGTCATGATCCCAGTGTCCTGGAATGCAGCCCCACCTCAGGCTCCCTGCTCAGCGAGTGTCTGCTTTTCCTCTCCACCCTACTCGTGCTCTTTGTCTCTCAACTAAATAAAATCTTAAAAAAAAAATTAATTAAATAAATTAAAATTCAAAAACATGCTATACAAACAAAAGCCCATAGTCTCAAAAAAAAATAAAACAATTTTTTTTCCCCCAACCCTCGGACTGTTGGGTAACTATCTTCAGCGCGGGGAGGACACAACGCTCCTTTTGGTACCAGGCTCAGGAAGATGAACAGCACTTCCATGCTTCTGCTGTGCATCACGCTCGGCTCCAAGCACGTCAAAGACACTGTCCCACTGGACCACAACCAAGGGTAAGGGACGAGACAGGTCACTATTACTGCCCCCACCCCCACCCCCGTACACACTGGAAACAGACACACAGAGGGCAAGGGACCTGCAGAGGTCGCCGAGCCAGTGGGCGGTGCACGGGGCTCGAGACCCGGCAGGACCCCGGCAGCCCGTCTCCAGGGCGCCTACTACCAGCACCCCAAGTTCCTCAAGAGAAAATGGGCGGTGAGGAGGGCGCGCGGGAGGGAGACGGGAAGGCTGTCGGGCGGCGCCGGGGTCCGCAGGGCGGAGGCCCCGCCCCTCCCGCGGGCCCCTCCCGCCCAAACGCCCTCGGCCGCCGCGCAGCCCCGCCGCACGCACGCGGCCCCCGGCGACCGCCTGGAGCCCCCCGGGCTCGCGGAGGCGGGAGCGCGGAGGGGGCCTCGCCCAGGCCCGTCCTGCCACCAGGCGCTGGGGCAGAACCGGCGGAGACCCAGACGCTGCAGCGACCCCAGCACCGCAACCCGGACTCACCACGCCGGCCGGGCCGCCGCGACTACAACCGGGAGGCACTGCGCCTGCGCGGCCGACCTCGGGCCGGCAGGGCGGGGCCTCGTGTGCCGGCCCCACGGGAGGGGCGGAGGGGCCGTGCCCGGGGGGTGGTGCACCCGGGGTGGGCGTGGCCTCGTGTCCCCTCCCCACCGGAGGGCGGGGAGCCGTGCCCTAGGGGGGCAGCACCCGGGGTGGGCGGGGCATGGGCGGGGCCTCGTGTGACCTCCCCACCGGAGGGCGGGGGGCCGTGCCCTACGAGTGATGCACCCGGGGTGGGGCGGGGAAGGGGCGGAGCCCTCGTGTGTCCGCCCCGCAGAGGCGGCCGTGCCCTAGGGGTGGTGCACCCGGGGTGGGCGGGGCATGGGCGGGGCCTCGTGTGCCGGCACCACGGGAGGGGCGGAGGGGCCGTGCCCTAGGGGTGCAGCACCCGGGGTGGGCGAGGCCTCGTGTCCCCTCCCCACCGGAGGGCGGGAGGCCGTGCCCTAGGGGTGGCGCACCCGGGGCGGGGCGGGGGCGGGGCCGGCTCGCGGGGCTCCTGCGTTCTCGACGTCCGCAGAGCCCCCAGAGGCCAAGCTAATCTTAGAACGACGGCAGAGCACTCCAGGCTGCCCCCCAAACTGTGTGGAGCGCGCAGCTCTGGTCTTAACGGAGTCGGGCTTAAGTCGCACTCGTTGCTGAGAGCCTGAAGGAGTAGCCTCCGACTTCCCTCCGTCACACCTTTCTGTACAATAGTGACATCTGACATTTGGCATGTTATCTTGCATTTCCCCCCATTATTGCTGGCCTAATTTCTTGTCCTACACCTGTACACTTCGAAGTTCCATTATCCGCCAAAGTGGTCTGCATATGTTTAGTAAAAATAGTTGGTTTGAGAATATTTTATTTTTAAAGAGTTTATTTATTCACGAGAGACACAGAGAGGCAGAGACCTAGGCAGAGGGAGAAGCAGGCTCCCTGCGGGTAGCCCCATGCGGGACTCGATCCCAGGACCCCGAGGACACGACCTGAGAAGGGCAGGTGCTCAACCATTGAGCCACCCAGGCGCCCAGAAAATATTTTATTTTAATGATTCTGCAAATATCAACACTAGTTGTGGATAAATCCTACGAGCTTTGTAATCTTTCACAACTCTTCAGCAAGGAGACAAGTGTGGCCTTATGGATAGAATCTTGGATTAGGAGTCTAATAAGATACCAGAGATAAACCAAAAAACTCTGACTTTCCCTTAAAATTTCTAATTCATTTCTTACGAAATACCATTATTTCTATGTACAGAACTGGCAAAGGAAGTTACTAGGTGTTAACATTGTATTTATGGAAACCACTCCTTCAATAAATGTAACTAAGTACAAATATGCCAGTTATTGTACCTGGTATAGGGATAAAGAATAACGTTTTGAAGTAGGAAAATTTTTTTCTTTAGGGAGAAATATCTTTTCCCTATTTTTTTTCTTTAGGGAAAAAAAATTCCCCAAATAAGAATAGGTTGTATTGTGATGTAATTGTGAAGTCAAAACTGCCTATATTACTGAAGTTTTCATTTATTGTAACATCAAATTTGAAATAGCACATGGAGGAAAAAAAGATATGCAAACTTGAACAAACCTAAATAATTTCCATACTAAATTACATTGCTGTAAGCAGGATTTTAAAAAATGTATCATATACTGGACTCCCAATTTACAGTAAAAAAAAAAAGGGGGGGGGACTGAATTAGAACATAGAAATTTAGGAATTAGGGGCTGCCCAGTGGCTCAGTAATCCTCTGCCTTCAGCTCAAGTCAGGATTCCAGGGTGCTGGGATGGAGTCCAGGTCAGCCAGGAGTCTGCTGCTCCCTCTCCCTCTGCTCCTCTCCCTGCTCCTGCCTGTGTGCTCTCTCTCTCAAATAAATAAATCTTTTTGGAAGAAAGAAATTTAGGAATTATGCAAACACCATGCAATTTTTCTTGGAAATGACAAAGTTCCAAAGCTACCTTGATTTCTAGCGGTTTACATATTATTTTACAACTTGATTTTTTTCACTAGACGGTATATCTTGGACATAACTTTATATTAGCCTCATTCTTTTGACTAGTTGCTTAAAACTCCAGTGAATGGATGTATCATTTTTTTTTCCCAATCAGTTTTCTGTTGATGTACCTTTATCTTGGCCCACTTGTGCAAATACTATCAGAGAGATAGCAGTGGAAATGCTGAGTCAACAGATATATTCATTTTAAGTTTTGATAGAAACTCTTCCCCTAAAAAAGCTTCATGAAAAACAATACATTTCCTAATTATTCATTTGATTTGTCAAATATCTGGAGACTTGTTGTGAATTTAGAAAGAAATGGGGAAAATCTCCTCCTTCCCAGTTGCCTTTCACTTATGTCATGCCAAGAAATAAACAAGTTGTTTGAGAATCAATGATTCATATCATCTCAGCACTAGTAGACCTTTCCCAGGAGAATTAAACTATTTTTCTTCCTTTCATCCCGCTTTAAGCCTTCCTGACTCTCTCTGAAAAGAAGAACTTGGACACTTGTCCAAGGAACAATGATTAAGACTCTTTACTATAAGAACTCTTAAATAAACTACGTCTGGCACTGTGTTACGTATGGGAAGAGCTATTCATCTTTCGAGAGAAAAAATCCTGCAGAAAAATATTTCTCAAATAATTAGTCATGAACATTGGAAAAAGAATTCTTTCATAGTATGTGCTCTTGCAAAAGCCTAAATCAAATTATATGCGATTTATTGAAACCAAGCACATTGTTTCATTGTTTCCATATCTGTGTTCATACTACCTATGGTTTTAATGTATTCAGGAGAGCTTGAGGATGCCATGGAGAGTACATGAATTTACAATATATAATGACATTTTATTTCAAAGCTAATTCACAAAATAGATTATATAGAGACTATAGCTAAACCTTAAATAATTTGGAAAAAGATAATTGTAAGTGATGACACTGGCATAGAAATTTGAAGTGGTGCTACTATTAAATTATTGAAAATTAAATAATCTTAAAGTGCTTAATGAAATTATTCCTTGGACACATACTTTAATAATGCCATTTAGAAATTAATTTTTAAATTTTCTATTGTAAATTAATTTACAGTTAAATATAGCTTCTATTTTTTATTTATTTATTTATTTATTTATTTATTTATTTATTTATTTATGACAGTCACAGAGAGAGAGAGAGGCAGAGACACAGGCAGAGGGAGAAGCAGGCTCCATGCACCGGGAGCCTGACGTGGGATTCGATCCCGGGTCTCCAGGATCGCACCCCTGGGCCAAAGACCGGCGCTAAACCACTGCGCCACCCAGGGATCCCCAAATATAGCTTCTATTATGTTGGGGGCCAAAATTGAGAATAAATTTAAAATAAGGTAATGAACCACAGCAATAATAAACTCTATGTGGTGCGCGGAATAACACTCCCCACCCTCAAAGGTGTTCTAATTCCTGGAACTCATGATCACTTTACCTTACATGGCAAAAGGATTTTGCATATATGATTTAAATTAAGGATCTTAAGAGAGGGAAATTATCCTGGATCATTCAAGTAGCCCTAGAGTTATCACAAAGGTCTTTAGAAAAGGGGGGCAGGAGGGAGGGTCAGAGGAAGAATAAGGGATGCAACAACAGAAGCAGAAGTCAGAGGTAGAGATTTGAAGATGCTAAACTGCTGGCTTTGAAGATGGGGAGGGGACCAGTAGCCAAGGAATGCAAGCAACTTCTAGTGGATATAAAAGGCAAGAAAAGAAATTCTCCCCCAGAGCCTTCAGAAGAACACAGGCTTGCTGACACGGCAATTTAAACCGAGTAATCTCACCTACAGAACTGTAAGTAATAAATTTTGTTTGAATCCAGTACATTTATGGCAATTTGCTACAGTAGCAATTGCAAACTGACACATTTTGTAAAATAGTTGCACCTAACTCTGACAAGTTATGGTCCATTATAGTCAAATATCAAAGTTGTGGGGGAAAGATGACAGCATGAGATTACCTTAATACCGACATCAGTTGAACCAGCTATTGGAGTTAAGAGCAATTCTTAGAAAACCGTCCATGCGGTTTGCTTTATTTTATTTTTTTTTAATAATAAATTTATTTTTTTATTGGTGTTCAATTTGCAGTTTGCTTTAAATTAATCTACAAGGGAATGCGGGGGCGGCTCAGTGGTTGAGCGTCTGCCTTCCGCTTGGGTAGTGATGTGGGGTACGGGATCAAGTCCTGCATGGGGCTCCCCGCGGGGAGTATGCTTCTCCCTCTGCCTACGTCTCTGCCTCTCTTTCTCTCTCTGTGTCTCTCATGAATGAATGAATGAATAAATAAATAATCTACAAGAATCCTATTATGGGGACGCCTGGGTGGCTCAGCGGTTGAACGTCTGCCTTTGGCTTAGGGGTGATCCTGGAGTCCCTGGATCGAGTCCCACATCAGGCTCCCTGCATGGAGCCTGCTTCTCCCTCTGCCTATGTCTCTGCCTCTCTGTCTCTCTGTGTCTCTCATGAATAAATAAATAAAATCTTAAAAAAAAAACAAAAAAAGAATCCTACTATAAAGTGGGAAAAAAACTTACTTTAATCTAGAAATTTCATCTTTGTTTTTTTTTTTTTTAAAGATTGTATTTACTTATTCATGAGAGGCAGAGAGAGAGAGAGAGAGGGGCAGAGACAGAAGCAGGCTCCATGCAGGGAGCCCGATGTGGGACTCGACTCCGGGTCGCCAGGATCACTCCTTGGGCCGAAGGCGGGCGCCAAACCGCTGAGCCTCCCGGGCTGCCCTTTGGCTCAATTTCTACTTCCCACTCTTACACTTGTCTCTCTTTCAAAAATGATAATCCAAAAAAAATAATAATAATAATCCAGACCAAAAGAGCAAGCCCAACTCTCCGTTTCTTTCCAAAGTCAAGTTTGAGAGGCGGGGCGCGGTGGGCTCTGCGGTCACCCTGTGGCGCCCCGGGTTTGGGCCAGCGCCCGGCTGGGGGCGCTCGGGGGCGCGGCGCGGGGGACGGGGCGGCGGAGGGCGGGGAGGCGGGGCGGGGCGGGCGGAGGGAGGCGGGGCGGGCGGAGGGCGGGGAGGCGGGGCGGGCGGAGGGAGGCGGGGCGGGGCGGGCGGAGGGAGGCGGGGCGGGGCGGGCGGAGGGAGGCGGGGCGGGCGGAGGGCGGGGAGGCGGGGCGGGGCGGCCGAGAGCGGTCAAGCGGCGCCGGGTGCGCGGCGGGCCGGCGGCGGTGGGCAGGGCGGCCGAGAGCGGGGCTGCGGCCGAGAGCGGGGCTGCGGCCGGAGCAGGGAAGCGGGGTCCGGGTGCGCCGCGGGCCGGCGTCGGGGTGCGGCGGATGGCGCTCTCGGGGCCGCTGCTCGGGGGTGCGCGCCGGGCGGTCCTCAGGTCGGCGGAGGCTGCGCTCTGGGGTGAGCTCGGGGTCCCCGGGGAAGGAAGTGGCCCGGGTGGCGGTGCTCTCGCTCCTTGAGGCTACCGGGTAGACATGAGACCCGTGATTCTGGGCCCCTGGGAAGACAGCACCCACTCTCAGTTCTCGTTCCTTCGGGTCCCGGGCTGCTTGGGTCTGGGGGTGCCCCTGGGGGCCGCAGGGAGAGGTCAGCGCTGCTGCTCCGGGCAGGCGCGCGGGAAGAGGCTGGTGCTCCACCGGGCGGCGAAGGTGGGCTCGCGACGCCGGGGAGCCAGGGTGCCGGGGGAGCCAGGGTGCCGGGGGAGCCAGGGTGCCCGGGGAGCCAGGGTGCCGGGGGAGCCAGGGTGCCCGGGGCGCCAGCTTCGCGAGCAACCCCTGGGACCCACTGCGGGGCCGCGCTCGGGGCTTGATGGCAACAGTCGCCTGGGATTATAATAACACGTTACAGCTATTAAAGTCCCATGCTGATTTTACAGGCGGCAGAACAAGCCAGAGAAACAAGGGTGTTAGTGGAGGCCTCGGGTGCAGTACTCGGAGCAGGCTTCCAGTCCCTTCTTTTTGCTTCCCATGCTGCCCCTCCTTTAGCACAATTTTTATTTGTGGATGCAGCTGCAGAGACTGTGGCGTAACACTGTGCCCCCAGCTCTCCCTCCCAGTTCTTCCACTTGAACTGTTGGTACCTCCTCTGTAGTTTAAAATGTGCTTTAAAAAAAAAAAAAAGATTTTATTTATTTATTTATTTATTCCTAAGAGACACAGAGAGAGGCAGAGACATAGGAGAGGGAGAAGCCGGCTCACGGGGACTCGATCCCAGGACCCCAGGGTCCCAGGATCACGCCCTGAGCTGAGTCACCCAAGCGTCCCTAAAATGTGCTTTTTCTCTGCAAACTTGTTTGTTGAGCATCTAGTAATGCAGGCCTCCTGCTGGGGATGCAGCCTCTGCAGTTCAAGTCACGGTTGTGGGGAGAGACAGACACAAGGAAACAGTCCCCACTCATGGCCTCATGAGATGGCTATGGAAAAAGCTACGATTGTACCTGAGTTGGAGAAAGTGGTAGAGAAAAGGTGCATTTTCATTTAAAAAATTTTACTAGTGTGGTGCCTGGCTGGCTCCGTTGGTAGAGCATGCAACCCTTGATCTCAGAGTTGTAAGTTCGATCCCCAGATTCGGTGTAGAGATTACCTAAATTTTTCAAAAAAATTCTACTAGTGATATATTATTATGTTCCCATTATATTCAAATAGACAATAAGGCACAGCCTGTGTTCCCCTTTATATACCCTCCCACATTCCACCCTCCTCTCCAGATGTGGTTTGGTACCCATCCTTCTAAACACTTCTCTATGGTTTAGAATTTATGCCCCAGAATTCCTGTCCCTGCAGTCGTACTCCCCAGGAATAGTTTAACATTTCCTTCCAGATGTTTTTCTGGACATTTATGAAACCTAAATATTATTGTGTCTTATGTGCATATAGATCTCATAGGGGAAGCTTTTTCATTTAGCAATATGGACATCTCTCCAAATCACTAAATGTAGGTCTGCCTCTTGCCTTGTAAATGCTCCGTGGTATGCTTCATCATTACTTTAACCATTTCCTGTATGAACATTTAGGTTGCTTCCAACTGCCAGGATGGGTTTCTGATCTTTCAACCAAGACTTTCCAAAGAGAATGCAGTCAATCCTTGTCTTCTTCATGACTTGAGGCTGCTAACAAGCGAGCTCGTTACTTAATCAGTGACCCCTGTAACACTGAAAATGGCCTTTGTCTCCTGCATTTCCATGAAGACAAAAGCTTGCTGTCTACCTTTATTCTCTGAAGCTATCCTCTCAAATCTTTTTCTGCTAGTTTTGTTGTTCTTATCTTCCTTTTAGCTTCTGTTTAGACTTAGGCAGAAGCAGGATCCCAAATCTGACCTACTAAGTCATGTGCACTATAGCTGAGTGCCTTCCTAACACACCTTTGTGGTGGCAGGAAGTGAGTGAACTCTGACATACTCCATCCTGCCCTATCTTTGCCCTGAGTTCTGACCTCTCTAAGATAATAAGTAGCTTTCTGGGAGGTAGCCAGGTTGTATACAGGCCTTTACTTGATCCTTGTCCTGGGGCTGCGAATAACAGTGGAAAACACAGAGGTACCCTTGTCAACATGAATCAACTGCCAGACTAGAGGATGCTTTAAATAAGGAGGGAGGTTGGGGAAGGTGGGGACCTGGGGACTCGTTGGGCTCTTTAAGGGAAAGTACTGTGATAAGAATAGTAAAAGGAGATGGAGAAGACAAGTGACTTTGAGAAGCTGAAAGATAGTGTAAGGTGGTCCCATCTGGTGTTAAACTCACCATTTCATGAAGTAAATGCATTGCCTTACCTAAAACTTCCATCTTAACCTTCATTCACTAGGATGGTTGTTCACCTGCTTTTCACATTTTGCTGTAAGTGGTTGCCAAAAAAAATCAAAATATTTATTAAAGTGATTATATCAGAAGTTATAAAATGTTCACCCTAAACCCAAATACCCATTTGAGAAAGAAGCACAGCAAATGTTTTTCCTGATATTTTCTCTCCGAAGTAACAATCATTATTTCTACTATATTCTTTCTAGGTTATGTGTTGTTTATATTGACCATTACATGGTCCCTAGTATAGTTTTCAATAATCAACAGATACTGACATGGGTTTTCTAAATGTCAACATCCCAAAGAAGAGGAGGGATGAACCAGAGAATTTATTTTATAACTGTGGCGAGAGTGAGTTGCTATTATTATGATTGTTGTTATTATTAAACAAAAACTGTTATGTCAAATAAGTACATTTTTCACATCAAAACTTTATTTATTTGAAACTATAAAAAGTATACCAAAATGAATTGGTAGGAAATAATGGTAGACTATTTCTTTTTTTTTTTTTAAGATTATATGTATTTATTCATGAGAGACAGAGAGGCAGAGACAGGCAGAGGGAGAAGCAGGCTCCCTGAGGGGAGCCCAGTGCAGAACTCGGTCTCAAGACCCCAGATCACGACCTGAGCCAAAGGTAGATGCTCAACCACTGAGCCACCCAGGCTCCTGGTAGGTTATTTCTAAGAAATTTAGTTTAGTATTTTTTTAAAGATTTTATTTATTTATTTATTCATGATAGAGAGAGAGAGAGAGAGAGAGAGAGAGAGAGAGGCAGAGACACAGGCAGAGGGAGAAGCAGGCTCCATGCAGGGAGCCCGACGCGGGACTCAATCCTGGGACTCCAGGATCATGCCCTGGGCCAAAGGCAGGCACTGAGCCGCTGAGCCACCCAGGGATCCCCTAGTTTAGTATTTTTTTTAATTTTTATTTATTTATGATAGTCACACAGAGAGAGAGAGGCAGAGACACAGGCAGAGGGAGGAGAAGCAGGCTCCATGCACCGGGAGCCCGACATGGGATTTGATCCCGGGTCTCCAGGATCGCACCCTGGGCCAAAGGCAGGCGCTAAACCGCTGCGCTACCCAGGGATCCCTAGTTTAGTATTTTAAAGTACAGCATATAGTATAAGACTATGCTATACAATAATATAGAAAAGAAGCTAAGTTTATGAAAAAATAAATTCAGAACCCAAGTCATGTATATGGTTTCTATATTTAGTTTCCTGAAACATACAATTAATTAAATCGCATTAGGCTAATTGAAATTAAATAATTTAAAGGATAGGGGTGCCAGGATGGCTCAGTTGGAAGAGCACAGTGACTCTTGATATTGGTCATGAGTTCGAGCCCCAGTTGGGTGTAGAAGTTATCTAAATAAATAAATAAATAAATAAATAAATAAATAAAATTCAAAGAATAATTGAATCTAGAATTTAGAAATAATGTTGAAGTAATCCTAAATTTCTTAAGTTTTTTGTTTGGAAAAAGTGCTTATTTCTACAGGTCTCCTTACTAAAAAGACCTGATAATTGTAGTAGAAGAGCAACCTTCTAAACATGTAAACAGTATGGATCAGAGCATTCTGAATTATACTAGATCTTCAATTTGCATAGTCTAATATGATGTGATTTTAAATATTTTTAGGTCATCGTACTTATTTCAAACTGAAATTTGGGTTGGTAGGTTGATTTTTTAAATTTTTTTTGAACTGTAGTTATTTGAAAAACAGCAAATGCAGAGACAGGCGTTTTCTGAACTCCTCTTACCCATCTAAAGACAGATCCTCCAAAAGGATCTCAACTGTCATAAATCCCCTCCCCCAGAATTTCATCAATCAGGGAAGATTAACTCATCATAGGAAAGGAGATCAGAACTCAACACCACACCCAGATTTTGTCACAAACTGTCAAACCTTCCATCTCTGTTCCTCTTAGGGCCTATTCATCCTTCCTAAACATCATTTACTCTTCTCTAAGAAGCCTAAGACCCTTCTCCATTTTCCTTGTTAAAGATGAGAATTCTAGGGGCGCCTGGGGCTCAGTAGTTGACTGTCTGCCTTTGGCTCAGGTCATGATCCCAGAGGGCTGGGATCAAGGCCCACATCGGTCTTCCAGTATGGGACCTGCTTCTCTTTCTGCCTGTGGCTCTGCCTCTCTGTGTGTGTGTCTCTCATGAATAAATTTAAAAAAAAAAAAGATGAGAATTCTAATTTTTTTATCTAAAAAATATTTATTTTTAAATTTTTACCTTTTCTACCTTCATCCATTTCTCCCACCCCATACTCCCTGCCCCTGGCAACCACTAATCCGTTCTGTGTCTATAAGCTTGGGCTTTGAGAGTTTATTTTTTTGTTTGTTTTAGGTTCCACATATGAGATCACACATTATTTGCTTTTCTCTGACTTAGTGTAATAATACCCATGTCTCAAATGACAAGAGTTCATTCTTTTTTACGGCTGAGTAATATTCGTGTGTGTGTGTGTACTACAATTTCTTTATCCATTGACACTTAGATTGTTTCCATATCTTGGCTGTTATTTTTATTTTTTTAAGGATGGATTTATTTATTTATTTATTCATTTATTCATTTATTTATTTATTTATT